CTTGATAATGAATATCTGGCTCCATCTTCTGAAACTCCACCGGAAAACGCGAAGCCGCCATCACATCAGCCGAAAACGTTCTCAACACCAACGAAAATTCTTGTAAGCACTACTCATCTCACAAGGAAGGTCGTTCAGGACGTGGAACGTTTTTTGAGAGCAGTTGTCTGCATGTCCACAACTTAAAGCAAGGAAAGTTCTTTTGACTCAAGAACGGCATTGACGCCGAAAATGAGTGTCAGAATCGTGATTATAACCACCGATTTCCCCAAGAGGTTTTTAGTCAAGAAATTTTTTGACTCTTTCGGGTTGTAGTAGATCGTTTGGTCTGCACTGGGGAGTCTCAGATTTTCACAATGACGAGGTAAACGATGACGCAATGGACAGCAAGTCCGGTGTGCTCCTTTTTTGGCATGCGCCTGGGTAGCCGCTGGATACGTGAATAACTATCCTAGACCTTTCCTGATTCCTGCCGACTAATCGCTCAACAAAGATGTCGTTCTCTATTACCGAGAGACCATCAATCGCACTACTTCAGCGTTCCCGCGCTTTTGGTGCACTTCGGAGCAGAATCAGAATATGTCGCGGGGGTCGTTTTTGCAGGAGTCATTACTGAACACAGTAGCGACGCTGCTTGCACTATGGGTGATGGCGTTCAACTGGCGTGCTGGTGCAGTAGAATAAACATTCTGAGAAATAAGTAATGCTTCTTTCACGAAGTCTGCAACGTCTTCCGGCCGTTGCCCTCGCTCGAGAAGTGTCAAGAGCTCCAGAGAACACCGGCTGCACTTCTGTGCTTCGCCTTTGCTGTAATGCGGCTGTCTGGCAATGCATAATATATTAAGACGATGGCGACATTATAAAACACCGGTGAATCATATGCGAGTTGCCACGTGGGACACTATAAGCTACCGGTGGCTCATAACCTTTTGCACTACTTTTGGACCATTAAGTTGAGATCACCTTTCTTTGTGTCAAACCAAGCTTCAGTATCTAAGAAAATTGCAGTTAAAGGAAAAAAATGCATGAAAAGCGCTTCTTCCCAGAGGCCCTTGGAACGCAAGTAATAGCGTTGGGGCGCTTTTTGCCATGTACCGCCGATCGCAGCGATCGCCGAGGTCGCCAAGGTCGCCGCGATCGCCGCTGCTGTCGCGAAGTATGAACGCTGTTAGGCAGCGTCCAGACTTCGCGACGGCGGCGCTTCGGTCGCGCGTTCGGGCGACCGATTGCGCCCGGGCGCGATGGATCGCATCGCTAGTGCTAGTGTAGATAGCGTTCAGACTTCGCGAAGGCAGCGCTTCGGTGGCGCGTTCAAAGCCGTCGATTTAGTCAAAAGCAGACGCATCGATCGCCTCAAACGCGTCACTGAAGCGCTGCCATCGCGAAGTCTGAACGCTGCCGTACGATTGTGTAGCGCGACTGATTCAATCGCGCTCCAATGCAAAATGATAGACGGATGCTGACTCACAGCCATTTTCGCTTACTTTTCTTCTTCCTCCCTACGTTAGCTTCTCGATTTTTCATCTTCCTACCACTATTTTTTAGTCTGTTCTTAACGTTTGTCTGTTATTATGCTTGTCTACCTTTACCATATGAAATATTCAGATACATTGGAATTTTTCGGATGCATGGCGTGTTGACTGCGCGCACTTTCTATATTTCTTATGTGGGTCCTTCAGGTTTCCTGTAGTTTTGGTTACCTTTTTCATTCATATCAATCGTATTATGTTTAGTTTGGTTGGCAATTCAGCAGTTCAGCGAAAAATAAGAATAAGAAAGAAAACCAAAAACTACAGGGAAACCTAAAACCCACCAAAGTACAGGGGAGGGGCAAAAAGACACCTCGACCGGGTCACATATCAGCAAATTTTCGCAGCTCAGACAGAGTACGTGGATAAGAGGTGCCAGAGCGGAAGATACTCAAGATGTTCCTCGGCGACTCTCGCCTGGGAATGACTAGACCGGATGCTGACTCACAGCCATTTTCGCTTACTTTTCCTTTCTTCCTCCCTACGTTAGCTTCTCGATTTCATCTTCCTACCACTATTTTTTAGTCTGTTTCTAACGTTGTCTGTTATTATGCTTGTCTACCTTTACCATATTGAAATATTCAGATACATTGGAATTTTTCGGATGCATGGCGTGTTGACTGCGCGCACTTTCTATATTTCTTATGTGGGTCCTTCAGGTTTCCTGTAGTTTTGGTTACCTTTTTCATTCATATCAATCGTATTATGTTTAGTTTGGTTGGCAATTCAGCAGTTCAGCGAAAAATAAGAATAAGAAAGAAAACCAAAACTACAGGAAACCTAAAACCCACAAAAGTACAGGGGAGGGGGCAAAAAGACACCTCGACCAGGTCACATATCAGCAAAGTTTTCGCAGCTCAGAACAGAGTACGTGGATAAGAGTGCCAGAGCGGAAGATACTCAAGATGTTCCTCGCAGACTCTCGCCTGGAGAAGACCTTCGGAATTCATGTCACCTCTGAACAGCTGCGAAACCTCTAGTGTGGAGTCACCCATGGATAGCTACCTGGAGACCAGTACTATCGATCTGGGGGACCTCCAACATCGAGCAGCTCCGACAACGTCGCTACGGTCTAGGACATCATCTACACCGCAGTCGCCAATGGGCGGGTTGATGGTAGGGACTGGACGTACCTAGAATGGGAAGGCCGAATTTTCTTCGTGGACCCCGTACTAAAGGTGAGAACTGGCGCCTTGACATCGAGCAACTTGAGGAGAATATCCTCCCCACATGTCGTCGCCCTTACCTCCTTGGAAATTGTTCTGCTACAGGACTGGGTGACACCACATGGAATCAAAGGGCGTTGGAAAAACTCTCGCCTACTTATAATGGAACGTTTAACGTTGAATACCTGAAGAAGATGGAATATCCAAGTAGGTCACCTGCCCTGAGCCCTCTCAATTACCTGGTTCGGGCGGAGTTCAATAGATGGTCTTCAGCGGCGGAGAAATCAACTATCTCGCTGATCACAGGCACCGAATCGCAGTCGCATGCCAGAATCTCTCGATGGCGCTCGTCCAGAAGGTTGTGGCGGAGTATTACGATAGTATTTAATATGCTCGTCAATATAATGGTATAAATGTCCGATTAGAATTCCATAATGTGTAACTTATAGCGCCTCGGTCAAGGAAGAAAAGGGTCTTTTTTGCCCCCCCCCCTGTAGAGGAAGTAAGCGCACTCAACATGGCCGTCCATCCGAAAAATTCCGATGTATCTGAAAATTTCGGTAAACAACATAATAACCGACAAACATTAGGAACAGATTACAGAAATAGTGGTAGGAAGGTGAAAAACAGGCGTGAAGCTAACGGGATGAGAAAGAAGGAAAAATTGAGCGAAAATGGCTGCAAGTTAGCATCCGTGCAGTCATTTTTGCACTGGAGCGCGATCGAATCAGTCGCGCTACACAAACGTACGCTACGACTAAAGACGCGATCGACCGCACGCTGGCGCGATCGATGGCCCGAACGCGCGACCGTCGCGAAGTTTGAGCACTGCCTTAGGAAACATAGTATTCATTTCCGGCGCCAGCTTACGTAAGGCTCCTTGGTTGTCCCGCTCTGCCAACGCTGATCGTGGGTAAAGAAATCACACCCACCTGGCCTCCGTTTTGGCAGAGCTATAAATAGCCCCCATACCGAAAAAGAGTGTCGTATGGCCGCATATGACTGGTTCCAAAAATGTGAAAAAATGCGGAAAAGCAATGGAAGCAGAATGTATAGAATGAAGTTCGGAAGATCATGCTGAGATGCGGGCGTCATCGCGGGTTCGGGGCTTGAGATGGTGCCCGGTGTGGTCAAGCATTCTAAAAGTAGCACTCACTGCAATACCACTCATTAAGTATGCAAAATTAGACAACGCGGCGAAAAAAGTGGTCCATGAGGGACAGTATGACCACGTGGCTCATAGCGGACGGGATTGAGAAGAAGACATTGTCCCACACGGTGCTTTCCCGTCAATCGCGATTATCGTCAATGTGTTAAAAGGTGCAAGTGAATGTACAGTATTGCTTCAGGTTTTTGCTGCTTCAGGCTTATGGTTCTCATGAACAAACAACGAATAAACAGTGGAAGACCTGTTTTACAGGTTGCCTCTATGAAGATCGCTCTCGTCCGGAAAGCAGGTCGAATACATGGCGCATTCCATCAGCGCCTTTGTGCATCCTATTTGACTCATGAGGAGGAGGTGTACGGGAAGCCTATCGTGCTGCGTAGATGGAAATGTGGGCTCTATGGGAGGGGGGGGGGACATCCTCATACTGCAGCTGATTTTTAGAGCGAAATCCGACGGGCAGAATTTAGCTGTAGTTAAGCTATAGCCGAGGTGTTGTGCTCTCAGAAAGAGAAAGCCCTCCAACTTGCAAAATAGTGTGGGCTTTTTCTCGGCATTATGTTCGAACGAGGCTATGGTCTTTGAGAGGGAAAAAAAACTTGCAATTGCCAAAAAATTTCCGCATATTTGTGTCATTATCCGCGACGAACGGATTAGTTAAGCTACAGCTACAATGTTGTGATCTTCAGGAAGAGAAAGCCTTCTAACTTTGAAAAAATGTAAGGTTCCGTTCTACGTTATATCTTAGCTATAACAAAGCTATTCTTATGGAAAGGTAAAAAACCGGCATTTGCTGATAACTTCCGCGCCATTTTTCTGGTAGGAGCAGTAATGCAAGCTTGATAATGTTTGATGTGTATTTCGTATACACCCTGCCCGTACAAAATGAATCGTTCTTTCTGCTCAGCGGAAGATGGTTCCCGTATGGTACTATTCCCTTTTGAAAATAATCTGTGAATGCAACGAGCGCAATTAGCGCTCCAATCTCAATGCGTGACGCAGCCGCAGCCCGCTCAATGCCTCGTCTTCTCCTTTGAACTTTGACGTTTTTTTTTCTTCACACATCACGCGACCTGGATTTCAAAAGCGATTTCTTCAGTGGGGTCTGATTTTGCTCTCCTCCTTTCCCACTAAATTAGCTTATCTCCTTTCGACGTTGTGTTCCCCAAATCTCCATTGGATCGGTTGCTCTTTTTCTGACTGTTTCTTCTCTTTCTCTTCTCTTTGTTCAGACTGCTCAGACCAATATGGTTCCATTGCAGGCCTGTGATGGGTATTCAAAAGCGATTTCTTGAGCAGGGTCTAATTTGGGGCGGGGGAGGCTCGAACGGACATTTCTTTGAAGGAGGGTAATAGAATAAGCACCTTACCTTTTCCTTGAAAAGTTTTATGTTGTTGTCTTACACGTTTGTGCATTAATAAACGGGGAGGATTTGGGCAGAGAGGAAAAGTATCACTGCAAAAGGGGGACTCCTACACACAAACCCCACAAACCCAAAAATGTCAAAAAATTTTCTGATCGAAAGTTTCTATCTAGAGGTGGTCGTGATTACGATTCTGACAAGCACTTTTGACGTCGACGCAATTTGGTGCCATAACAGTGCTCAACAGCCCCTGTATTAAAGTACTAACGTGTCAGCGGAAAAACGGCGAGCTCGAAATTGACGATAAGTGGCTCCGTACTTGAACAAAGTCTCATGTTCGTGATCAGAGCACTGAGACCTCGACATACATAGACGGAAGAAAAGCGAAAACCGAAAAATGCAAAAAACCGCCTTGGCAGCGACTGACCCACAAGCCACATGCCTACAGCGCCTGAGATAATCTACGTCGTTAAATACTGAGCTAACTGATCGCAGGAGATCGCTTGGAGCATAACACTCATTCTTAATCTCGTATTACGATACCCACTGCGACTTTTCCACCTTGATTTCAATGACCACCTTGAAAGCACCTTTCACTCAACAACTGTCAAAGTTGCAAGTGATTTACAGTGCACGAAGTTTCAGAAGGAAGCAGTTCAAATAGATTTTTTCATTCCTTTTTAACAATAACAGAAGCGCGCAGCGGAAATGAACATCAGCCTTCTAATACATGCAGGTGCTCCTACACCATGCAAAGAACCAGTTTTAAAAAGTGCTCCACGACCTGAACGATCTCCTTTGTCAGCACTAAACCGTGGTTCATCAAGAGTCGAACATGAAATCGCAGTACGACTGAATAGTAGGGACGCTTGGTCAATTGTGACGGAACACCAGCAGTGCGGCTCTTACAAATGAAACATAGCATTCAAGTTACAGGCAATAATATTCAACTCACTTTTTCTTCGATTTTTTCGGCGTTTTTTTCTCTCTTCAGCTCTTCACAAGCTTGCCAGAAAAGTATGTTCTCGTCAGAGTACTCGCCTTTCAGAAATTCAGCGAAATACTTCTGTCCCACTGAAACTTTTCATTACTATTCTCGAAAATCTGCTTCACAGAAAGGTTGTAACTAACGGTTTAAGCATCGAAATCTGCACCACTAATCGAAACACTTGACTCGCAAGCATACGCGTGCTTTCCTCCAGCTCATACTACATTTTTTGTTTGGCAATGTGTTTTGAGTTTTTTTTTGTTAATTCTGTTCCAGTGCCACTGCGGGTTCTCCTACTAGAATTGCGCTTGTTGTAACGCGCTTTCTGAGAGCAAGGAACAAATAAAAATATTCAAATATGTTGTAACTATGACAGAATTGAAGTTTGTTGCACACTTCCCAATCACTCTCCTTAACAATTTTCTTTCTTCAAAAAACACTAAAAGAACTCTCCTCACACCGACATTTTTTGCCGTGCTGATGTGAAGGATAAAATTGTCAAGTTTCCCCACAGTTTCGGAGAATCTCAATGTCGAAAACCTAGTAAACACTGGACTGCGGTGTGAACAACTTTTTGATTTGTTCATGAACCACATTTTTTTTACTTTCACATGGCTGGTACTGGTATGTATCCCAAAATAAAATGGCACTAGTGCAACTTACGTTTGTTTTTCATGAGATTCTCGAATGACTGTGACCACGCATAAACGACTTCATATGTTGGCCTGAAAGAGAAGGAAGGAGTCAGTGAAAGCCGGTAAGAATTTAGCGTTAATGAGAACGAAGGTACATTTGGATGCACGCATCAAAGTATTCGTTTTGAATAACATAGTAGGCACTGGAAAACACCTGGATATTCGCTGAGACATAGATGCGAAGCTATACCGCTCACAACAATGAGATTCCCATAGGGGTATTCTACTACTTTATATATTTTTTAAAACTATTCCAAAAGGCCTATCACCTTTCCGCAGATCACTCACTGTATATAAATCGCTAAGTCTCGTTCCTTCGGAAACTCTATATATCCGAAGAACAACTTGGAGAGGTCGGGTCAAGGTTGAGATGAGTAGGGCATGAAGCAAGATTTAATGAGCACCCGTAACCCATGGTAAGGCCCCTTCACTAGGGGCGAGGCACGCGCCGCATGTTGGCAGTGTCACTAAAAAAATTCATAATTCGGCTCCGAAGCACCCCTAGATGGGGGAAAAGCGGAATAGGGTCAGCAAAGGGTTGCCAGACTCACAGGAGGCACACCCGGAATGGCGGGGGAGTGCTTGATTTGGGCGGTGCTCCCTGTGTCACTGAAAAAATTTACAATTTGTCTGCAGAGCAGCTCCGAGAGGCGCAAAAGTGAGATAAGGTCAGCCATGTGGTGGCAAACAAAACAGAGAAGACGTACCCGAAATGGGCGCGGCCTAACTGACACGGGCGGTGCCTTCCACGAAACGCAGTTCCCGAGGGAGTCAGCGATCGCAAAAAAGTCCGTGTAGAAGACAAACATCTGGCCAGAGTGGAGCATATTCGCGGTGGGTTAAGAACCGCCAACAGAGGGCGGAGCGTGCCCTTAAGCATAAGGTACTGATTTCAAAAAGCCGTCGCTGTGTTCCAGAACACTACAGACACCGGGAAAAGGGATTCATGGTTAGGGAGGGGGTCGACAATCAATAGTGCGAGACCCACCAAATCTCCCACTTGTGGGCAGAGCGTGCGGCGAGGTGGGAGGGGCCAATTTTAAAGATTAGTAAAATGGTTTTAGAGCAATCCAGACATCGGCAAGAGGTGAGCAAGGCCAGAGCTCTACCATTGGAGTGGGATAGACAAGTCCATTGTGGGCGGGACGAAGGTCAAAAACTCACGAATCGGTTGCAGGGCAGGGGCACAGGGGACAAGTGGACTGAGATCACAAGGGATAAGTGGGCGAAATGGGCAGGACATCCTCGAAAAGTGTGGGCCGTACTAGAGATGGGCGGTGCTTCCCATGAAATTCTTTAACTCAGACCTGAGTGAGTTTGGAGATCAGGAAAACTGTTGGAAAAGAGAAACATATGGCGGCGAGAGTTGAATGTTGAGCCCAGCCTGCATGGGGCAGATGGTGCCCTCAAGCACGATTGAAGTACCTATTTTTACTGAATTTAAAAGCATGGGTAGCCGCTACTCTAACCAGGGAAGGTCGCCAACTTACCATATAACTTTGAATGGAGACCTAGGTGGATCGATAGAGTCTATAAGGTTATTAATAAATATAGATAGCAAAACTGCAACGTGCACTCTTCAAAACTTATGAGCAGGTAAAGTGTAATGGTGCAGTACGCTGAAGGCTTGGTTGTGAGCTGTGAAGCATAAGCGAGGAATCGCATGCCGCAAATGGAGTCGTGGTAGTTCAGTGATCTTCTTGCTCGCTCGCTTCACAGGCACAGCATGACTCGATTTGGCGTGTGCGATTCCACGCTTATGCTTCACAGCTCACCACCAAGCCTCCACCCAACTGCCCCATTACAAACTTTACCTGCTCACAAGTTGTTTGTGGAATACGCGTTGCAGTTTTGTTATGTATGTTTGTTCATAGCCTTATAGACTCTATCGATCCACCCAGGTCTCCATTCGTTCTATAGTGAGTTGGCGACCTTCCCTGGTAAGTCGTAACAGGCATCTTTGATACCAGTCGGTTATGTGCGCCTCCTTCTGCGATAAACGCCCGGCTTCGCCAGGCTTGCGTGCTTCGCTCCGCCTACCTGCTACTGTATGTTAGAATGCTCTACTTATTCTCTCATCTGTGCTCTTGATCGACGCTCCTCGCCACAATTCCATTCACGGCAATAGTAGTTGAAAATTACAGGCATGAGGCTATTGGTCAAGGAGCGTTGACCATGTGTACAGACGAAGAAAAGCCGGGTATTAGTTGAGTATTCAAACGTGTCAAAGAAAGCACGCTTGCTCGGCCAAGCCTGGCGGTATCACAGAAGGAGGTGCGCCGGAGTACGCCGTCAGTGATTAGCTATTCATCTCGGTCGCCTCCTGAATTGGCATACAGAATAATTTATGTATCTGGGTCAAAAAACTAAAGGAATCTCTTATCCCTAGAATTCAAAATTCAGTCGTAGTGATAGTGTGGAAGTGATGCAAAAAATCTTTCTAATCATGAATCGTCTGCGCACTGGGAACTCGGGGGGAAAATGGGAACGCTGCAGCGCACACAGAGTACAGTAGAGTGGAGTCGTGTCGCGTGAGATAGAGCGTATACTTATTTGTATTTTTTTGCAATGCATAACCTCGTATGTCTGTCCAGGGACGGACCACGGACAGCACTGCCCTTTAGCGCAATTGCGAAACCTTCAAAATAGGAAGCGCGGGAGAAGATATAAAAGGGCCTGGAACCATGTGTAGGACTTCAGCTGTTGCTCGTTGATGCCGGTGGATCAACACCGCTGTCCGTGATCTATTAGTGTTTCGTGACGTGTCAAGAAGTATCGTTGTAGGTGCCTCATTACTGGTTTTATTTTTTAGGGTGCGTTTTTTTGTAGTAAAGTGCTGCTTTTTTTGTGCCGTGACTTCACGATTGGTAAACCCGTACATACTTCGTGCCCTTAAAAGCTAGGGTACTCTACTTGGGGCCAAGCCTACGTTCGTGATATTCTCAGAAGTAAAAAAGGGAGACGGTTGAACTCGTTCCTTTTTTTCGGTCGTCTCATCAGTTACTTTTGATACCAGCGATGCCCTGCCATTACCTCGAGTGGTCGATAATTTGACGCACTGCTAGCAGGTGAGCACTTTTCAACGTATAGTTCAATCTATCGCGATCACCGTGGTGTCTGGTTCCTTTGACTGGAATCGACAGTGCTACACTCATTGCCTAAGGGTCAACGCTGCCCAAATTTTTTTGGCATCGGTGCAGGACTGTCAACCTCAAGGAACTTGGAACCACATGACGTGTGAACCTTCACGATGGCTCCGTCAATGACTTCGTCACATAAAGAAGGCCGAGAAATGGACACGCGTATTGCAAAGAGTGCCTCGACAGAGGGGGGCAATATGGCAGAAGTGCCCATGGACGTTGATGAAGTGGATATGGATCCACGAGAGGAGCTGAATGACGTGCTCGATGACGTGTTCGATGACGTGGAAGAGACCAGCGAGAACAGCTGAATGAACTGAACGTTTGTGATCATGCTTTGAAGAGCCTAAAAAAGGTAGAAACGAAACGAAACACGAAACGAGACAGCTGTGAAAGGGTCATGAGATTGGCCGTAAAAGAGGTAGAACAGGAACTTAAAGGCCTAAGGCAAATGTGTGCAGGAAACGAACAGGAGAGGGTCGGTTTTGAGAAACTGATACTTTCTTAGGTTGTACTACGCAACTAGAAGCTAGTGGAAGCAGTTGAGGAGCTAGCGATAGAGGCAACCATACTGAAAGATATTGAAAAGTGTACAGGTTGGGAGGGTGACGAGGTGTTAGAGAATTGCACGCAGCTTAAAATGAGATTGATAAAGCTAAGAGAAGGAAAAAGAAGTAGTGTTGTTGCAGCGTCAGTTGGAAATGAGCGAAGAGAATTGGACCTGCTAAGATCACAAAAGAACGAGCCGAACAATAGCGGCACTTCGACGCGTTACGAGGTAAGGCCGACAAAAAGGCATCTAGCGTTGGCGTAGTTGAAGAGGCTAAATAAAAAATGAGCTATTTTCAGGCTGGGTGAGATAAGCGGCCAGGATTGAGAAGATTGACAGCGGGCAAATACAGGCAATTCTGAGGGAGCACGCTGAGGAGGACCGGTGAGTTGCTAACTTTGTTGAGTGAGGGCGAATTGAGTGAACGATAGCTGCGTGAGTGAGGCGTTGAGCCTACGTTGCGGCCAGAAGTCTAGCTCACTCGTAGAGAACCAGCTGGGAGCGTATTTAAAATATGTTGCGCTGCCAGAGGTACGAGTGTTTTCTGGGAAAGACACGAATTATTCGTGGAATAATTTCATTGAATCGTTTTCCTCAAATTAGCCAACTCAGAATTGGTCTATCGAAGAGTTGAAGGCTTTGCTGAAGTCAAAACTGATTGGTCAAGCAAAAGTAAGATAGGAGGCATTACCCAAAATAGTAAAGCAAGGACCTTTTGAGGGATTAGTAGCGGCATTAGCGGAGTCCTACAAGGTGGAGGCACAGACTAGCAGGGTTGCGTTCAGTTAGAGAGGCTGTCAGCGATAGCGTACCCGGAGCTAGATGAGGGAGTTCTAATGACGACAAGAGCTCAGCAACTATATGAGCAGGTCGTGCCTTGGCCAGAGTCAGTGTATTTTCTGGAAGCATGGAGAAAAATGGTAGATGAGTACAACAATTTAAAAGAAGCAGTTCTGCGAGGAGAAAGAAGGAAGTTGATGGACGGTACCAAGGACCAACAAGAGCAAGGAACCGAAACCAAACGCCACAATAAATGTATTCGCGATCGTCCCGAAGTGACAAGGATGGAGCTGCCCCGAGCAAAACTGACAGTAGAGAAACGGGGGCCAACGGATCAATTCGAGTCCCGTGTCAGACCTATAAAGGGCCAGATACAATGCTTCAGCTTTAAGGGCAAAGGACATATGGCCAAAGACTGCAAAAAGGGAAACGACGTTGGAAGTAAAGCCACTGACGTGGAATCAAGTACCGCTCAGTACCACAAGAACGCAATCAATGGTGTTATCACCATTCGGGGAGAAGACCACCGTTAAAGTGGCATGTGGATTGAAGGAATATCCTGTCGACCAGAACAAGAAGATTCTGGATGCATCTGGAAACCCGATGAAGTTTAGGAAAATAGTCGAGGTCCCTTTGAAAGAGGACAGCGAAGGAGAGATGATTCTTCGGATGGACGTATCAGTGGAAAAGGGCCTTCTGCTTGTTTTGGAGACCAACGCCTTACAAGCCTTGAACTATACGCTAGTTCGGTTGCCGAACGGAGAAGACCGGCAAGAGAAGGCAAAAGTAGTGCGGGGCGTAGATAAAGCCACGGTAGGAGAGCCTATGTAGCCCCAGGTGAACTTAAATGGGATGCAATAAAAGACGAGGCACGAGCTAGTGAACGCGTATTACGTTCTAGCTGCAAGTGGATTCGTTCTGGGCTACGCGCTATAGATGAAGTAGGCGTGGCAGAAATTCCAGTGTGGAATGTGTCGACAGAGCCCCTAGTATTGAAAATACGGCAAGAAGTAGGTGGCTGGTAGGAAAGTGAGGTCGAATGTTCCAAAGTGATTGTGACAGAAGTGCCATTAGATGTGCTATGAATACCGACTCTGCAAGCTGAGGAGAGGAAACAGCTGCTTACGAGTACCTGAGAAGCAACAGGGAGATCGGAACACCTGATGAGCCTAAGCTGTGGAAACTTATTGATGAGTACAGCGATGTTTTCGCGGTTGATGATTGCGAACTAGCCCAAACGAATCTAGTAGTCATGAAGTTGATACAGGAAATACAGCTCCCATTCGACAGAAGATCAGGCTCGTACCCATTGAAGCTCGTGCCGAGTTCAAAGGCATGATCAGAGAACTCCTGGATCGCGGTGATATGGAGGAATCAAAGTCAGACTGGGCATCGCTGGGTGGTTAAAAAAAAGCCATAAGATTTTGCATCACTTGTGGAGAGCTAAACAAGCGTACAAAGCAAGATGCTTGTCCGCTTCTGAAAATCGACGTCACTTCTCAGAGTCTGAAACGAAGGTGGTGTTTCAGTACTTTAGACATGGCGTCAGGATACTGCCAGATCTCACTGTAAGACGATGCCAAGAGGAAGAGTGCTTTCACCACGTCAGAAGGACTGTTTCAGTTCAAAGTACTGCGGTTAGGTATATGCACATCGCCTTCGCGTTTTCAGTTGCTGATGGATAAGTTACTCGGTGTTCTACAGGACAAAGAAGCATTCATGTATATACACTGCGAAGCATAATCATAGTTCCACTCATGAACCTCATTGAATCCCGTCTCACAGGACCTTTCCAAAAACTTCCCGCTTTTGAAAACGTTTTCAGATACAAAAAATGTGGCAATTACCAATACCAGTTCGCATGCCAACACCAAGCACTGCCTTGAATGATTTTTTTTCCGTCGATTTCTGAATGATGGTCTTTCTGAATAGTGCAGCAAAATGATAGTTCCACCGCATGTTTCCCTCTGCATCTCATTTTTTTGGGTGGAACTTTTCATTATTATGACTTCTTGCCTTTTCCAGGCTATGGCAACTGGAAGTTCATTAATGGACCTCGAAAAAGGACAGTTTATCGCAAAGACTGTCGAACCATCGAATCGTGCGGGATTCGGACTGCACTCATCATGCTATCAACAATTTTGTCAAGGAACCTACAGGATATTGAGTTGAGAATAGCTCTGGACATCCTCCTTTGCTGCCCGATCGGAATAAGCGCCGTATCCTCAGGAAAGCATCCAACTCTGCAATGTCGTGTCGGGAAATCAAGTCATCTTCGGAGGTTGATGTCTCGATGGATATCGTCAAGCGTGTCTTGAAAAACTCTTGAGTTCGCCTACAGGAGGAATATGAGTTAGGCACTGTTTCTGACAAAAACCATTGCGAAACCTAATTGACTTTGCAAGAAGATGCTGCCGAACCGATTGGAGTATGGTTAGTTTTTGGCTGAGCGTGATTCAGTCGTTACCAAACCGCCCTTTTGCCCTGGGCAGCGAGTAGCCCCGACTTAATCCCAATCAAGGATGTGAGGGGCTTCGTGGCGCGTATGATCTATGCTAACGATGCACAATTCCACAATGTCAGTGAGCTAAGGGAGTTAATCATTGGTGCAGTCGGCCGAAAGCCTATTGACAATCTCTAATCGAGCATGGGCAATCGTATTTTCCAACTTGTTCGGAGAAATAGAGCCCCAGTAGATTAATGGATCAGAACTTATTCATTTTTGTTGTAAGTTGTTGTTCGATTATTCGATTTGCTCGGTGGAACTATCATTTTGCTTCATTGTCAGAACGACCATCTTTCAAAAAATCGACGGAAAATTGTTCTTTCAAGTTAGTGTATGGTGTTGGCATGCGAACTGGTAATGGTGATTACCACATTTTTTGTATGGGAGCATTTTCAAAAACGTCGTGTAAGACGGGATTTCGTGAGATTCATGGGTGGAACTATGATTATGCTTCGTAGTGTAGATGACATCCTCATAGCAACAGAAACAAAGAAGGGAATTTAGAGGCCTTGAAAATATTACTAGAAGCGCTGAGGGCAGCTAACCTTAAGCTGAAGCAAGAGAAATATGTACTAATGAGGGATAGCGTGATGTTGCTTGGGCATGAGATCGCAGGAGACGGAGTGGAGTGAATCCTGCAAAGGTAAAGAGATTCAAATTTATCCTAGGCCTACAAAACTGTCGGAAATACGTATTTTTTAGGATGCAGTTATTATAGGGAGTTCATTCTCGGATTTTCCAAAATTGCCCGTCCCCTATTTGACTTGACAAGCAAAAAGGTGACGTGGGAGTGGGGAGAATGGACACAAAGACGCCTCCCTCCACTTGGAGGATTGCTTGATAAAGGCGCCGGTGTTTCCACAGCCAGATGTGGAGGCAGCTCAGAAGGGAGAACATCCATACGTCATATACACAGACGCTCCCTATCAAGCCATAGGGGGAGTGCTGTCTCAAGAAGGCCAAGACAGGTTTTTACATCCAATTTTTTTCGCCGCAAAGAAATTGTCACGTGCAGAACAGAATCACCATATGACAGACCTAGAGGCCCTTGCAATGGTCTTCGCTCTTCGGAAGTTTCATTACTTTATATGGAATGCAGGTAGTGGTGAGAACTGATCACCTGCCGTTGACAGCTTTATCCCATAGGGACAACTTTTCAGCGGTCCATAGGGACAACTT